AAAAAAAAGAATCCGCCTGCCAATGCAGAGGACACGGGTTCGAGCCCTGGTCCGCGAAGATCCCACATGCCGCGGAGCAACTAAGCCCGTGCGCCTAGAGCCCGTGCTCTGCAGCAAGAGAAGCCACCGCAAGGAGAAGCCCGCGCACCGCAACGAAGAGTAGTCCCCTGCTCACTACAACTAGAGAAAGGCTGCGCCCAGCAACGAAGACCCAATGCAGCCAAAACTAAATAAATAAATTTTTAAAAAAAGAGCAATGCGTATCTATTTAGAACAGCAACCTTCAATTTGTTGTGGCACACCGCAGAATGAAAGCATCACAAACAAGATCTAAGCACCAGTCACAGAAATAAAAGGTAGCTGTGGATTTTTTCTCTCCTCAGGCTCCAAAGGTAAGGAGACAAGTTTTGAAGTTCAAAAGCTATTAAAAGTGACCAAGCATTAAAGAAATGGAAATGCAGCCCCACAAAAATTAAAGCGTGTATTTATATTATGCTTTAAGGTTTAACAAGTAACTACACATTCCTTTACCTCCGTGAAATAGATGGGATATTAGCTTCATTTACAGAAAAGGAAACCATGTTTTGAGAGCCTAAGGAAAGGAGTTCAAGGTCCCTCAGTTATAGTTATGAGAGAGGATTTGAAATCAGGTCTCCTCCCTTTAGTGATGTTTTCATTACACCTGCTTAAGAACCACCGCTTATGAAGAACCATCAAGAATGCAAGAATATAAAAAAATTTAAAGTCTAACTGTTAGCTTATTTGATACTGTAGGGAGGAGCCAAAAGGCAGAAAACAGTAACATAACAGGAAATCCAAAACAGTCATCCTAGCATACTACAATAGTGTATCAACATAGGGTAAAATATCTGGAAATTAAGTTAAAAATACACTGAGAAATAGCAGTCAAGAAACTGATTCTATTGTTTCTGAAGCCAGAGTTCTGGGAGATAGAATTTGTTTGTTCTGTCAGCCCTTAAATGTTTCCCAGTGGAGAGTTAAGTCAAGTTTGTCAATTAAATTCTACTGAATTTAAGTTCAGAAACAACCTAATTTGTAACTATCAAAACCAGCCTTGAAAAGGGGTCATTCCTCATCTCCATACGCACTCAGTATAAAATATGTGGGGAAGTCTTATTTAAAGCAACCTAGAAAATCCTGATAACAGGCAAGCAGCAATAATTCTTCAGGACAGGGAAACTGTTAACCTAAAGACACTATGGGTATTTATAGATTTTCAGTAACTGATACGGAGATTTTCATTTTTGATCTCTCATAAATGAAATATGGATAATAAATATATCCTACTACCAAGAGTGCCAATGCTATTCAAACTCAAGAGCTGTCTGCTAACAACTCAACTGCTCACCTGCTAACTAAACACTCACTCAATATGACTATCAAATTATTAAAGACTTATTTTCTTCTCCTTCCATTTTTGATCCCCATCCACCCCACAAGCATTCTGGTTCTTTCGTCTTGCTACTTGTTCACCACTGACAAACATTTCAACCCCTGAATATTCAGCAACCTGAACCATAACAGCTCTTAAATAGTAAACAATCCGAATCTATAATTCGTGGACAACTTTTCAGAATTAAACAACCTCTAGTGATTAAATCATAACACAAGGAAACACATGAATAATCCTAAATATTTAAGAAAATGGGAAGATAATATCATCAAAGAAACAACACATAATTCAGTACTAAGAATTTGAAACTAATCATACCGTCTATTTTTTGAGACCAGGATTTTGGATATCAAAAGGACCACTGGATACTAATAGGGTCAATTGTTTAGAAACTGTTCACATGCCTAAGGCTACATATTAACTGCCAAATATGGAGCCGGACAAGGAATTCCCATCTTCTTGCCCTGTAGCATACGGGGTCGCCTAACTGCAGTTAACGATTCACAGATCCAGGTACATGCAATGCTAACATTTGGAAGACTAGCACCAGGTGTTAAAACCAGTATTTTAACACAAGTTATTATCACAACAATCATATGGGGGGTAAAAGGGCATAACTTTGCTATTATTCCACCTTCAGTGCACATGCGTTTTGTGGGTTTTTGCTGGTGCTTGATTTTTAAGAGAGCAAAGGTACTGGCCCTCCAAAAAAAAAAAATCTGTTAAGAAAGTAAGCATACATTGGAGGGAAAAAAACTGATCTATGCGGAAAATTGTAGATGCATATCTATACTCGCTCCAAAGCGGCACAGGGCCATCTTAAGAAATCTGCCTTTGGAGAGGCAGGTAAAATTCGATCAGATTCAACTAACAATATTAACACAATATATGGATGCTATGTTCCTCCCCTAGACTATCCTTCCCACCCTCCCCAAGAAGACATGGGGGAAGAGGAAGAAAGCCATTCCTCAAAGCACTCAAACATCTCTTCTATTCCTGGGTCAGCAAGAGATCGCCTACATAAAAAGGGCACGGAGAAGGCGTACGTTATATACAGCCCGGGTTTCCCAGCTCCTTCGGGATAAACCCGCGGTGGGGGGGCGGCGTCAAGGACCGCAGAACACCAGGTACTGGGTAAGCAAAACGAAGGCTGCCTTCGGAGCCGGATTCTGTTTCCGTGCACCGAAATGGTGCCCGGAGGCCGCTACTTTCGCATCTGCGTCGCTTCTGCCTCCGCCGACACAGCCTCTTTTCCCCTCCCCCACGGGCGGGGCGGCGGCGGCCTCCCCACTGCCAAGGAACCGGGAATAAGAGCCGCAAGAGTCTGGGACGAGGCTGGTGGGCTCCGCACCCGAAACATCCTCTCGGGCAAGCCCACCCCCCCACGTCCCGTCCGAAGCCTCCATCAGCGCGCCTTTGGGAGCAACTGCGTCCCCTTTCCTAGCTCGCGACCTCATCCCCAACCAACCCCGGCCCCACCTGTGCCCTCGGAGCCCTCCGTCCGCACGACGCGCGCCGGTCACCTCCCTCCCCACGCGGCCTCCCATCCCTCACCTGAGGAAAAAGCTCGGCTTCTCTCTCGCACACACAGCAGCGTAGGCAGCCGGCAAGAACAATGTCTCTCTCTGCAACTACACCTCCGACACCGGAGCTCATGCACTGGACGGTTGCCTCGAGCCGCGGCGCGCGACTGGAATGTCCCCTTCCGACTACCAGACCGACCGCCCTTCCCGGTCCCCATACACACCTCCAACCAACAGCGGCGGCGGGTACGTCGCGCGGAGGTCAGCGGGAAAGTCGCCGAGGACCGGCTGCAGCAGATTCTTGTCGCTCGCCGCCCTCTCCCTCCTCCGACAAACCTCAGACCTCGGAACCGGAGAGCCACAAGCTGGTTCCCCTCACAACCACCTCTTCCCGGGCGCCAGGCACTGCGGCGAACGACAAGGAACACGGACGTCCCGCCCCCTTTGCCACCGCCCCCTCTTATTGTTTTACCCCTGCCGAAAGGGCTGGGGGACCCCCCAGCACGGCTTCAGCCAATCACGCATCTCCTCCGCGAGCTGGACCCAACCTTCTCGCGTCTCTCTGCGGAGCACGCGCAGAACGCCGCCGCGCTCACGTACTCTCACGCCCGGAAAGCCGAGGAACCGGAACCGGCGTGAAGCCGGGGCGAGAGTCCGCTGATTTGACGTCACCAGAAGGCTGCCTTTCTTCTGCCCCAAGGATCCGGCCTCTTCGCCCTTCGAGAGCGCACCCGAATAGGAGCCGGGTCGCTGCAGCGCTGTGCCTTCTGCGTTGTCTTCTGGGGACTGATTTTTCTGGTCCTTTTATGTTATTAAGAGGAAGGGAATTTTAGTGATTTTTTTTTTTCTCTCTGAACTAGGTGTCTGCAGGTTGCTGCTCTAGACGAGAGTAAAAATGCAGCCCGTGGTTTCAGCTGCTTGCACCCTAAACTCAGCCTAGGAAATGGAGGTTTTTAAGCTCCACCGAGAAGTTCAAAATCGTTCAACGCTATATTATGGGGCCTACTGGGTGCTAAGTACTGGGATGTAGAAAAAATAGGACGTGGTCTCCACAGAGAGAAAAAACAGTTCTGTTTCTTTGTGTGTTGTTTAGCGTTAGGCGTTGCTAAATACATACTAAGCATTTTACGTGCTAAAGCAGCTAAAAGCTGAAATCCCAGGAGATATCAGGATTACAGACCTGTCCTAGATCTAGGCCCAGACTTGGCCGCAGGGGCATAGCTGGGAAAACACTAGACACTGACTCTCATGACCTTGATTCATGGAAAAAGCCACATCTCCTTACAGTCAAGGAAGCCACTTTGCACCTTAGTTCTGGCAGTGTTTCTCAGAGACTATCAAGACAGCTGAGGAATTTTGGAAGGAAGGGCTGAGGAAATGGTGAAAGGAATAAAAGGCAATTAGGAAAGGAAATGCCACAGAAGAAACAAAACTCAGGCATATACATTTCACAAGTTTTCTTAATTCTTTTAGAGTAATTTTAAAGTATTTTTCACGTGTGAAAACTGAGGTTTACGGGGCAGTGCAACATTTGAACCTCCAAAATCTACACCACTTTTAACTTATGCTGCTTAATCACATTGTTATATGCAAAATATATGGGCAGACGATCACTCTTATGAAATGAACTTTGACATGTTCTTCCTTAAAGTATCATAATACATTACATGAAAACTGCCCTTCAAATCTAATACTTAAGTGCCAGCCACTCTTCTGTTTTAATTGTTTAATCCTCACAATAACCCTATAAAGTAGTTAGGATTTTTATGCTAATTTTACACAGGAGGAAACTAAGGCTTAGAGAGGTCGAGTTAACTTGCCCAAGGTCACACAGCTACTACTCCGTTGGAGCTGGGATTCAAACACAAGCAGTCTGCCTTTACACTCCATGCTATGGAATACTCTCCTTATATTAATTGTCACAACTTACTTATCTCTTCTGTTGATTGACATTTCTACTGTTTCCACTGTGAAGCTCTTATGCACAATGCTGTTATTCCTCACCAAGTACAAAAATTTCTCTAGAGCAGTGATTCTCAGAAATTAACGTGCATCAGAATCACCTGGAGAGGTTGTTAAAACACAATGCTGGGCCCCCTCCCAGGGTTTCTGATTCAGCAAGTCTGTGTTGAGGCCTGAGAATCCGCATTTCTAACAAGTTCCCAGATGCTGCTACTGCTGCTCTAGGAACGGACACTTTAAAAACCACTGATCTACACCATGGTTGGCAAACTTATACTGTTAGGGACAGACAGTAAATATTTTAGGACTTGAGAGCCATAAATGGTCTTTGTAACATATCCAACCCACGCATTCCCGTTTTTAAATCCTTCAAAAATGTATTAATAAAAGAAATATTCTTAGCTCTGGGGCTATATAAAAACAGGCCTCGGACAACCCCTGTCCGAGGGTACATATCAATAGGTGGAGTTATTGGGAAAAACGACTTCATTATCTTCAATTTTATTAAAATACCCAAAACTGTTTTCCTAAGTAGTTATTTTTACTTCCTAAATGTCTCTTAAGTCCGTGCCCTCTGAATACTTCTCCATACGTATAGCTCTGCCCAGGTTCAGGACCCTTTTATCTTTCCAGAATGACTGCAGTAACCTAAGGAATCTTCCTGCCCTACGAATATAACCTCCATTAAATACCCCCCTCCCGGGACAGACAATAAGGCAGGGAGAGAAGTAGGAATGTATTCATTCAGTGGCTCAAGCCAAAAGCTTTTAAGTCACCCTTGACTCTGTCTCACACCACACAGCAAATCACCAGTACATTTCTGTTCTCTCTACCTTCAACATTTATTCTAGATTAAACACTTAGCACTATTACTGCTATTATTATTATTATTATTCCCACAGCAACCAGATCCTTTATAGCTATAAACCAGATGACCTTCTCAAAACCCTCCAAAGGCAACACAATAAAATCCCAAGTCCTTACCATGCAAGGCATCCCATCCCTAATTTAGTTCTTACCATTACTTCTTTCCTTACTACTTTTTCTTTTATACACCTCAGCCCTTTGACATTTCACATCCCCACCCCAATGTGTGTCTTAGATGTGAACCTTTATCAAAAGTTTGTGAAAAATCAAAATAAACTGCATCTACTGATTTCCCCAAGTACTCATACTGAAATATCTCACTCAGGCATTCTAAAGGTGAGTTAGGCATGATTTTACCTTACACAAACTACCCTTCATAGAATTTCAGTTAACCTTATACTGCTTAAATAGTCTACTAGCTTGTCTAAGCTGTATTCTGTGGTTATTTTGTAATCTCCCTATATTATATTTCCTAGGTTCTCTTCTAGGTTGTTTTCTATAAATAGTGTAACTCAAATGGTAACCTACAGGTTGTCTGGCAGAGTGTCCACTCAATAATAGTTCCAGGGCTTCCCTGGTGGCGCAGTGGTTGAGAATCTGACTGCCAATGCAGGGGACACGGGTTCGAGCCCTGCCGCGGAGCAACTAGGCCCGTGAGCCACAACTACTGAGCCTGCGCGTCTGGAGCCTGTGCTCCGCAACACGAGAGGCCGCGACAGTGAGAGGCCCGCGCACCGTGATGGAGAGTGGCCCCCCTCCCTGCAACTAGAGAAAGCCCACGCACAGAAACGAAGACCCAACACAGCCAAAAATAAAAATTAATTAATTAATTTTTAAAAACCTGCATCTTTAAAAAAATAAATAGGGCTTCCCTGGTGGCGCAGTGGTTGAGAGTCCACCTGCCGATGCAGGGGACACGGGTTCGTGGTTATTATGGATACTCTGTCAGACAACTGGTAGATTGTCATGTGACCTCTATCCATAAAAAAGCATCTAGAAGAGGCTCTAGTTGCAATTTTCTTTGGACATGATATCCCTTTACCCCTAAACACTTCAGTGTGCATTTCTTAAAAGACAAGGACATTTACTTCTCTATCCACAATACAATTATCAAAATCAGGAATTAACATTTTTACAGTACTATAATCTACAGACAAATTGCATCAAATTGCATCAACTGTCCAACTAATATCAAAAGGAAAAAATTGTTTGCTGGTCCAGGATACAATTCAGGATTACAAATGAATCTGGTTATCATGGCACCTTAGTCTTCTGTAGTCCAGAGTTTCTTCTCAGTCTTTCTTCTTTCATGACCTTGATATTTTTAAAGAGTACAGGACAATTATTTTAAAGAATGCCCCTGAATTTGGTAACCTCTGCTGTTTCCTGATATTTAGATCTAGATTATGCATTTTGGGGAAAAATACCAGAGAAGTACTGTTCTGTCCTCAGGGCATCATATGGAGGCACATGATGTCCATGTGTCCTATTACTGGTGATGTTCCCTTCACGGTTAATGCAGTGTCTGACGGGATTCTCCACTACACAGTTCTGTTTGTCCCTTTGTAATTAATAAGTAATTACAGTTGTGTAGTCTGGTACTTTGAAACTGTGTACATAACCCATTTATCATGATAGTTTCACCCAGTTTTAGCAGCCATTGACGATTCTTTGGCCAAATCAGTTTTTGTTATGATGGCTACCTAAATGTGATTTTTCTAATTCCATCATTCTTTCCACATTTATCAGCTGCAATTCTACTATAAGGAAGACCTTTTCTCCTTTCTCATTTTTTAAAAATTTTTTATTTATATCAGTGTGAACTCATGGATTTCTACCTGATCATCCATTAATATCAACATTTATTTTTATGCTCACATTGTCCCCATTTGGCCCGTGGAAGCCCCACCAAGTTAGCTCTCATGCATTATATAATTTAATTGTGCATTATTTATTACAAAAAATTGAACTAAGATATCTTTTCAAACAGTGAAAAAGAACAAAAAGTGACAAGGGCCTAAGAGAAGACAGTGGCAAGTAGAAAAGAAATTTATAAGTATATAGGTGGCAAAAGTGTGATGATTAACTAGGTATGGGGAGTAAGGGAGACGTCTAGGATAGGATGCTTTGCTGGTTTTGTCTGGGTGACAAAAGAGCCGCTGGTAATATTCACTAAGAAGGGGACTACAGAACTTTGGTATTTTTCTATCCATATGCTTGTATAAAATATCATACTAGTTACTTCATCCAATACTTTCTGATCTAATGCCACTTCAGAAAGATCTCTGACCAATGAATCTAAAGGAGCCCCAGTCACTCTCCATCTCTTACTCTGCTCTACGTCTGTTAATAGCACTTAGCACTACCTGACGTTATATTTATCCTTTGATGGGTTTGTTTGTTTATTTATTTATTGTTGCGGCATGCGGACTTCTTAGTTGCGGCCTGCACACTCTGAGTTGTGGCATGCATGTAGGATCTAGTTCCCCGACCAGGGATTGAATCTGGGCCCCCTGCATTGGGAGCCTGGAGTCTTACCCACTGGACCACCAGGGAAATCCCATGATGGGTTTTTTTAAATTGTTGGC